TCAAACTCTTAACGTGTTTTATCAAAACAAACGCCCCCAGTTCTGGATTTATTGAATTTGCCGTGCTGCTAACCTGCTTTGTATTGTATCGAGCTGTCATGTACCTTTCGCAGTAGCTGCGGGAGGAAACTGAAAGAGACAGAAAGCTGCCAGCAGCCACATTATTCTTGAAGGACTTTTCCTGCAGGTCACTCATTGTGAGAGTGGGAGGAGACAAGAAGGACCCTTATGTGGTCTAGTTTCAGTAAGATGTCGGACCGGGTACTTAGCAAGTGAGCAAAGTGGGAGTTCCAACAGTTTATTTTTCTTACGCAGTTGTTAGGATGTGGAATGGCTGCAGTGGATCTACATTATCGTAATGTGGAGGAGGGGTACGTGGGATTTGAAGGACTGCTCTTTCAAAGAGGCAGCAAAGATGCAAATGATCTCCTTCTGTGCTGTGGATTATCAGAGGTCTGTGTTTTTTTTTAAAAATAAAAGTAGTTTTGTTTTAAGCTCTTTATCCATTTCTGTAGCAAAGTCCTAGCTCTTTTACCTAGGCCTAGAATTTGGGACAACACCAGCACGAAGCGATGTGATTGTGTGCTGGTCAGTGACGACTACATCACTCACTGTACTGTGCCTTGACCTGCCATATCAGCCGTGAGGGGATGGCAGCCAAATGAGGTGGCGCATTAATAAATACACTCACTTATTAACTCTTTACGAGAGCAGCAAAACATTAACTTTGCTTAAAAATACAGTCGGTGGCTTTACATCCTGCAAAGTGCTTCAAGTGTTTCATTTTGAGACGTGATGAGGTCCTACTTGAAAGCAAAGATTTTTTAAAAAAGTTTTTACACACATATATATATATATACAGTATATATAATATATATTTTGAAATAGATTGAAAGCTGATTAAGATGATTATTTACTGCAAGAGATAGTGCCCTTTAAATTCTACAACTATGCATGAAGTTAGGGAACTCTTAAAGCTCAAGATCTTCATTAAATCCTGAAGCAATTCTTACAAAGAACAGGTGTGAGCCTCCAAGCTGTTTAAAAACAATCTAAAGCTGCAGGCATTTTAATTGTGTGTTTTTCTTTTGCTCTTTTTAAACGCAGCCGTAGACAATGCAACAAAAGAGGTGCCATCTAAACCCCAGAGCTCCACTGTGTTCAGGGAGGTTATGATTGGCACATCCAATAGTTTCTCGCGGGCCAGCGAACGTGGGGATCTTTGAAGCTCGGAGCTTTTTTTTTTCGTGGGTTATCGGGAAAACTCGTTTGCAGGAGTTGACTGAGCAGATGGGTTCGACCTGTTTCATTGATTTACACCTCCTTCAACATGGACTCCACCTGCCCGTCGCTACGGAAATGCGTTGGGGCTAAATAGTAACAACGACGTCAGTTGGCATGACTTCAAGCCTTGCATACTAACAATAGAAGAAATACTACTTAGTTTGGGCTGTACTGACGTGGCGGTTGGTGATGTAATCCTAACAGGTGGCGCGAGGCAAAAGTTGTCGAGCTGGGGGGGAAAAAAAACCTCCCCCCCCCCCCCCCCCCCCCCGAAATAATCAGTATCAGTGACGTACGCAAACTTTACGTACTATCGATGTGACAGATACTGGTCGATGGCTTTATGCCCAAAGGTTCATCGGATGCAAATTGTTCAGTTGGAATATTCCCAGCACGTGTTTCTGAGCTTTCCGTTCCCTGTCATTTGAAGTGAAACACCCCGATCCGACAATTTTAGCTTCCCGTGAGGAACGTATCCCACCAACTGGACTGCTCTCCTCACCGTGCAAATCCAAAAGGGAGTTCAGGAGGAACTGCTTCACGCAGAGGGTGGTGAGAACGTGGAACTCACTGGTTGAAGCAGAAAGCGTCAAAATGTATTTAAGAGGCAACTCAATGCATACAGGAGGGAGAAGGGGATAGAGTGGAATAGAGGGGTGCGGGCTCGTGTGGAATATAGACAGGAGAGTACGCCTTCCAATCCAGACACAGGGAAATTTTTGTGTGTAGGTGGCCTATATGGATGGGACTCTCAGTCTGCTTTGCATATGTTTAACATGAGGACAGGTTTCCAGATATATCAGACTGAACAAAAAAAAAGTGTTTGACCAATGACAAGGGAATGAATGCCCTGTTTCTGTGATGAGTCACTGTGCAATTCGGTGACAGCAGATGGACATAATAATAATAATAATAATCCTTGCATTTGATACAGCGCCTTATCACGTCTTCGAGACGTCTCAAAGCGCTTCACAGAATATACCGTAAAGTGAACTGACTGTATGTTTTGCGGGCAAACCGCGGCAGCCGATTGCGCACAGCAGCGTCCCCGCAAACAGTCGTGGATTGAAGTGCCCAAAATGTTTTTTTTTTTAAAAATTTCCAAAATGATTTACAAAGTAAAAAGTAATGCCACAGGGGGCCACAAAGCAATAATTATCAAATGCAAGGATTATTAAAGCTCTATATTCGACTTACGCCAAGTTTATACTGAGACCTAGTGCTATAATCCACCCGTGGGTCAACTGCTCGTGGGTGATTGAGCAGAGCTGCCCTATTTTTAATTCCACCACGCTATGGGGCAAGTTGCATACAGCCTTTGGCGGGGGAGATCTGTACAGCAGACAGAACATGTAGAAGTGAGCACAATGGCAGAATTAGGCAGAACATTTCCTGGTCATACACATACGTCAAATTGGCTCTGGTGTTGAACGGGGCTTTTGGTATATGTGTAATTCAGTAAATGACATTTTTTTTTAAAAAATCCACTGACCACGATTCAGATTCTACCTCCGCACCACAAAACTCAGGGTATTGTAAAACCGTGCACACAGTAAGAGGCCAACCAGCCCACTTTTTGAGCTGCTCTTTGCTCCATCCTAATCCCAATTCCCTGCACTTTCCCTGATGGATGAAGGAGGTTATGTGACCCTCTAGTAATAACTCTGATCGTGAAGGCGAAAGAACTTTTACCATATTTCCAAAAGCAGGTTAATTTTGCTCATAATTCTCAAATATATGAAATATAGTTGTTTTCGCTGGGAATAGGAACATTTTGCATGATGATAGCTCAGTTGCCATGTGTAACGTCTGTATTGTAAACCCATTGTATAGAAATGGCGTTAAGATAAAGTGGATGAGTTTCCGAATGTCACACCCAGCTTACCAGAAAGAAAGGTCATTTTTTTTCTGTTGTCAAGCCTTGTCAGCAATGCCAGCGACTGAATGAAACTCTTTTACCATTATTTGCCCCCAAAATGTGCCCTGAATCAATTTTCAAATAAAACCGTCTCGGTTTATGATCTTAGGAAAACAGTGTAGAACTTAAATTAAGGGCACAGAACTGGATTGCTCCAATAAAGCCAGAATAGGCTATAGGTTCTCTCTGATAGTTGAGAGCTTTCAGGAGGCAGGTCAAAAAGGTTGGCTCTTTAAAACCATTTCTAATACGATAACAACCTGTCTTCCCCCACCTCCCTCCCGCCCCCAACCTTCCATCCGCAGCATACATTCATACTGATAAACTGGCACAGGTGTTTGTAGTCATTTGCCTACAAAACACACAGTCACTACAATCCGCAGTAAATCCTGTGAAGAGCTTTGAGACTTCCACCCAACGTAAAAGGCATGACGAAAAGGCCTCACAAGGGCCCTGATCATTGCGAGCGTGAATAGCCAGGCACGTGTGGATATCTCTGCCACCCAGCCCTGATTAACATGTTCAGTCTCTGAGACCTGCCTGTGCAGAAAAGGAGCCCGGAGCCAGTATTAAGCCAACATCAAAGCATGATGGAAGCATTAAAGTCTGATCTCAGATTGAATGACTGAGGGCTGCTTTTCGTTCTGAGCTCCAGAAGTGGTTCTGCAGAAAAATGTATTCCAAGAGATGATTTTTGATCTAGATATATATATATAATATCATGTAGTTACTGTAGGAATCTTTATGGTGTAAATATTGCAATATGTAAACCGCAGTGCAAAATATATCTGATATCTTGCAGTAAACGTAGTTAAATGTGGCAAATTAACTTTCCGACGCTCTTAAAGGTGAAGTGTCCACTGTGTTTTTGTGTAGTCCTCCGAGACGTTATACTTAGCGAGGGCCATTATATGAACACTGTACAAATTCTTATTCGGTTACATTTTTATCCAGGTACATTTTTATTCGGACCAGACATGTTACAACTGCTCGATAATTGTTGTGAAAGCCAAAAATAAGCAAATTGTTAGCAGCTAGGCTGTTTTATAATGATTCCTCATTATAAGGCTCGGATTTGATGTAGCACCTTTCGAGTCAGGGAGGTGCTTCAAAGCGCTTCACGGGATCCACTGTAAAATGTAATCACTGTGCATTTCGTACACAAAAAATCTAGGCTGAAATGCAAAAATGCAGGCGAAAGTTTCACTGCAGAGAAAAAAAAATCGAGGGAAGGTCAACTGAAATATTTATCAGATGTGCGGTATTTCAACGCAGACGGGTAACTCTTCAGAATTAGTATCTGTTTGGCATTCCAGCTATTGTAAATAGGTGGCAGTCTCTCTTTTTTTTGGGGGGGTGGTGGGGGGGGGGGGGGGGTCAGTCGGGTGTCTGACACGTGGGGAAACCCCTTTAACCTGCTGAAGAGCATCCAAACCAAACTTGAGAACTCTCTACATCCCATGGAAATTCCAGAGGTAAATTGTTGGAATGGAATGCGCTCTGCTCCCTTCTCCCTGGAGGGACGCACCCTACTTACCTAAATTCTCTGACGTATTAGGCGCAGGTTGGCGAGACCCAAGCTTGGGAACCCAAGCCTTGAGTGTGCATTTGGGGTAATAACTGTTGGAGTCTGACCAGCTCTCGTCTCCATGCTCCGATGTTAGCTAGCTTAACACGGGGAAGGCTGGTGGTGGTGATGGTGGAGGGGGAGACGACGTTTGGGAATTTTTACACATGGCTTGCTTCACTGTCTCTCCTGTTTTTTTTCCCCGCCCCCTCCCGTTTTCTTCTCTGTAAGGTGGACTCAGCAGTTTCAAGCAAGAGCACGAGAATCTGTGCGATAACTCTCTGCAGCTTCAGGAGTGCCCCGAGGGAGGTGGAGCCTCGCTCATTCCAGCACATCTACCTCAGTCCATCCCCACCACCCCCGACATCGAGAACGCAGAGCTGACCCCCATCCTGCCCTTCCTGTTCCTGGGCAACGAGCAGGATGCCCAGGACCTGGAGAAGATGCAGAGGATGAATATTGGCTACATCATCAACGTTACAACCCACTTGCCTCTTTACCATTACGACAAGGGCATCTTCCACTACAAACGACTTCCCGCCACCGATAGCAACAAGCAGAATCTCAGGCAGTACTTCGAAGAGGCCTTTGAATTCATCGGTAACTATTCTTTTCAGTTCAGTTCTACCTCCGTGCCCCATTTTCCCTCTTTCCCCCTCTCGAACCTCAGTAGCGGAAGTTTTAATTTTTAATGTCATTTTCCTTTCTACTGAGAAAGTGCTTTGTTAGGTAGGTTCATCCTGCTGCAGCTCAGTTGGATGTCCTGCTGATGGTCTGAAACTTCAGTTGGGCGCGTTACATTTTCGTGTCATTTCTTTATCGGTGACTGATATTAACTGGAAGTGTGAGGGGGTGTGGGGCGGGGCGGGGGGGTTACGCTTAGTGTTTCAAACTGAGGCAGACTTTAAATAATTTCTGAGTGATCTTAAGCTTTATGTCAAAATAGTCCTTCAGGCTAAAACTATCTGGAATTTTTTGACTTAGCCTTTAAATTTGGGGAACAACAACAACTTCCATGCCGGGTGGCGTCTCAAAGTGCTTAACAATGGCGGAGGCCGAGCCAGGGGGAGGGGAAGGTGACCGTTGACACGGTCGAAGGGGAAGGTCTTCAGGCGCAACCTGAAGATGGGGAAGGAGGGGGCGAGGCCAAGGGATTGAGGGAGGGAGTTCCAAACTTTCGGGGCAGAGCGGCTGAAGGCACGACCGCCGATGGTGGAGCGGAGGATTCGGGGGAGACACAGAGGAGGCCAGACTCAGTAGAGCGGAGGCAGCAGGTACTGCTGTGGGGGAGAGAGGAGGTTAGAGAGATTGGGGTCGGGGGGGGAGGAGGGGGCAAGGAATGGAGTTAATTGAACACTAGAGTGAGGATCTTGAAGTCGATCCTCTGTGTGACAGGAGCCAGTGGAGTTTGGCCAGGACTGGAGTAATCCGGGTACGAAGTTTACAGGCACAATTTGCCTTTCTTATACCATTCTCTCAATGACATCCTTGTATCCCACAGCTTGGCTTTGGTCCACAAAAGCTCATGGATATTAAAGGTGTAAAAGGAATTATAATTTACTAGAAGGGCCCTTCACCTACATCCTGGCATGGTACAAAAGGTTCTTTTGTTTCTTCATCAGGTTTGCCAGCGGTTTTCCCCAACCCCCCCACCCTCACCCAGTTCAATAAAATGTTTATTTTGTGAATGAAATCAAGCTTTCCAAGAACACTTCAGTGCATTTGGGATAAACTCACTTTTTTTTCCCATCAGTCAGTTTCATTGAGGTGGCATTCCTGAATGAAACGTTTATCCTTGGGTAGAAACTCATGCCCAAACTCATAGTGTAGTAGCAATTCTAATATAATTAGACACTGATTGAGTGGCTTGAAGTCTGAGACATGACCCCTCATTTTGAGCTGCTTTACTGCTTCCTGTGTAAACTAACTTTAAGGGTCTTGAAGCAGAAGATTGCATCTTTTGTACAGTGATAGTTGCATGTCCAGGGCTTTTATCAGTTAGCATCTGTAGTTATTCTTTGTCAATGACTGCTCAACGGTTTACAAGATCCCTGATTGATTTGTTTCCAGTGCTCAAATGGTCTGTTTGATCCGTCATTCACTCTAACATCGTAGCCATTGAATCTCTTGGATTGTTCTGTGCACATTGTACAAGCCTCGTTTTACTGCTACAAGTGGCACAGCACAGTAAGATTTTAATTAAGAGAAAGCCCGAGATGGCATTGAGCTTTTAGATTGAATTGACGAGTTTAAGAGCTCTTTTGGCGTGAGTTACAGCATCTCTTATCAATAGAAGAGGAAATGCCAAGATAGAAAAGGAATGTTCCGATCTATCGAGTTCAGTTGACTTCAAACATTTGATGGCCCACAAGGGATTGGAGAGGGGGAGGGGACTTTGATTTGGTCCACACACCCTTTAGACTCAGGACTAGCTTTAAAAAAAAGCCCCACTAAGGTCCACAGTGCTATCCATTGCAATATCACTGCACTGAACACAGCACAGTGCTCCATCCAGTGACTGAAGTACCACAGTTACTAGGATGAACACTGGATTGAGATTTAATTAGTAAACAATTAGTAAAATGTCCACGTTTTTTGAACCATCATGAATTGAACAGGATGCGAAAGTTTAAACGGAACAAGGGAGCTGATCGAGGGCTTATATCTGTTCCGTAATTGAAACCGTGTTTCTCATCTCCGAAAATAAGAACTTGAACTTCGGGTTTTGACTTTCCGGCGCTCTGGTTCGGAATGGCAACGTAACCACGATACAGGGGTCTCGTTAGAAAGCGTCTCGGTTGGTTTGTCATTTTCCACGGCCACTGAGAAATTGGATCCAGCCCACTGCGCCACCACGGGGTTGCGCTGCGTGTTTTTGATGGAAATTGCGGCGAATAGAGTTCCCGTTTGGTTGGTTTTCCCCTGGCCAGTGATTATTTATCAACCTGAGCCCAGATGCTACAACGTTGAGGGTTGTAAGACCAGTGCAGAGGCTCATGTGTTAACTAACGTTCATTGCCGGTAGAGCAAAGAGTGGGACGTAGAAGTTGTGGTGCCAGGGAAGGGGACTTTGATGTGGTCCACCCCCCTAGACTCAGGAATATGTGATAATCTGACTGTTTGGATTACAGGGAAGAGTGAGGGTGGGAGGGGAGGGGGCGGAGGGGCTGAGTTCAGCAGCCAAAGAGCTTTACCGAAGCAGGCAACGAAGATGTGATCTGCAGAAAGTGCAGATTAAATCCGTGCGTGGATACCCAGGAGAACAAACCCGCAAATAGAACAACACAATAGGACGAGGTGCCGTGGAGGACCAGTCCTGGGTAGATAGGTATGAGGAATGAACAGGGAAGTAAGACGAGAGTAATAAAACTCCAGCGGAGTGAGCCCTGGTCTATCCTGTAATTTCTGTAATATCCAAGCTTTTTTTTTAAACAATGGTACTGGGTTACATTTCCAGAGTTATTACACAAGCGAGGATTATTCACGTGCGAGCTTTGACAGTCAGTGCAGCATGATATTTGGCTGCGAGCAATGTCACAGTAAAGCCCATCCCTGTCCTTACCCGATCTCCACACAATATTCTCGCTTCCAGCAGCAATCGATCCGGGCTTGGAATTTTGGTCCGTTTTCCGCACCCTGATACGGAGGCGCAGAGACCAAGTTGTGATATCCCTATTGCTGCCCCCGACTTACACTTCGAGATATGGCTTTCTTCGAAATGTCACGAGCGCAATTAAAACTACAGGTGATGTAAACCGTGCTATCAGTGCAAGTGACCTTGTTTAGCACGTACCAGACTCTAGAGAAGTAAACTCTAGGATGGTGCAACTGTGGGTTAACCAAATACGCCGTGAAAGGAAGAATAATAATCCTTGCATTTGATACAGCGCATTAGACGTCTCAAAGCACTTCACAGAATATACTGTAAAGTGAACAAAACACAAAATACTGCAGATGCTGGAAATCTGAAACAAAAACAGAGAAAGCTGGGAAAACTCAGCAGGTCAGGCAGCATCTGTGGGGAAAGGAGAGTGAGTCAGGGTGTCGGGTCCACTGACCCTTCGTCAGAACTCAAAAGTGAACTGACTGTATAGTTTGTGGGCGAAACGCGGCAGCCAATTGCTCACAGCAGCGTCCCACGAACAGTTCTTGATTGAGTGACCAAATTATTATTAATTTTTAAGGGATTGTTACCCCCGGAAAGCGATCTGCTAATCGACTAACAACCGGGTTCCAACTTAGCGCTAGGTAAATAGAGGTGTTCGTGTGGAGTAAGGAGACTCGCCTAGGCTTTCGTCCTGCCCAGGAATCGAACCCGGGTCACCTTGCTCGTGAGTGCCTCAAGCAGTATACTCCACCCCTCCACATAGGAGTTCTGTGAATGGAGGGCACGGAAATGAAATGTGCTCTTGCCTGGTTTTATCAGCAAAACAGGAAATTATTTTTGTGTCGCGAGCAGCATGAAAGCAAACTAAAATCTTCCTCATCTCGTTCCCTTTGGAGTCTTTTATCCCGTCTCCAGGAGGTACCAACTCTAGGAGTGACCAATTAGTTCAGCTGGTGAAACACTGCTCTCCGGACCACTGTGGTCCAACCCTTAAAAACTAAAGCAACTGAACGGCAACCCGGTCACACAAATTATAAACAAGGCAATCGTATTAACCCCAGCAACTGGGGTTTTATTGCCATGAAGCAACACAAAGGAATGCGAACAGATTGTTAAGAATGTGAAATTATGTCAGGAATTGTGGCCACGTACTCGTCGAAAACCAACATTCATTTACATCCAACAACTCTTAAGTCTATAAACAGTGACGTACTTTGGACTGGGGGAAAAATGCAAGTAGAATAGCTATTCCTGGAGCATTGTTATGTGCCATAATTTCTCAATCCTTATAAGACCGTTCAACGAAAGCTTGAGAGAATCTTAATGTTTTCTGGAAGGTAGAAGCTCTGAGTTCATTGCTGGGGGTTCAATCCGGGTGTAATTTGGACTGAACGCAGAGCCCTTCTAGAATCGTAGAGTGCTTCAACACAGAAGATCATTCAACCCACAAGCTCTCTGTAAGAGCTACGCATTTCGCCCCCCCTCCTCTACCTTCTCCCCACATTCATACATGCGATTTTCTTTTCAGATATTCCACTTTTAACATTTTCCTTCTTCCCTTTTAAATGCTGTAAAAAAAAAAATCTCTTCAACCACCCAGCTTTCCATCAGGATCCACTTGCTTTGAGTTTGGAGCGACCATTTGAGCTCCACACGTTGTCTATGTCAGCGAGCGTACGGGGGTGGGATTTTAGTTGATCCAACCCCCTTTGCCGTTGGAATTCAAAGGCCTGTGATCTGAAGCCAAGTAGAACACAGCAAACCTTCAGACCGAATCCCAGGACCACCCAAACTTCCAACCCTTCTGGGTATCGTTGTGCATTGGGTAGGGGGAAAAAAAAAGAAACACCAAATCAATGAGAATCAGAACTTTCTGCTTGCGGAAACCTTTAACCTGTTTGCTGTAAGGTTTGCTGGTTTGCGGGTGAGTCGTTATCTATTCGACACAAATTAAAATGAGGACCGTGACCCACAATTCCAACTAGCCTTAGCCTGTCAGATCATTTTGCCTTAAAATCTTACTTACTTCATTGTGGACAAGTTCTTCAATTCAGCCTTCAGTTCTTCAATTCTGGAAGCAGGGTTTTCGCGATGCTCGAAAAGAAACTGGCTTCCAAAATTAAGACTGGACCTTAAGAATGTTCCGCCATCCTTAAGTGCTGTCTTAAAACCTTGAAGACAAGCAGGTTACAGCTGGGTTAAATTCCGTGCCTCTGATTTTCCCCCTCTTCCTTTCCCTCCCCGGCCCCACCAACACCGTCTCCAATTCAAAACAAGCTCCGAGATGCCGCCCGGGGTGAAGGCCGGTATCTAAATTCAAGCTGCTGTTGTTGTTGTTGTCGGAGCAGACCTGGTAAACCGATGTTCTCTCTTTTTGCTTCCAGAGGAGGCACACCAGTGTGGCAACGGGCTCCTCATTCACTGTCAAGCTGGAGTCTCCCGATCTGCTACCATCGTGATCGCCTACCTGATGAAGCACACGCGGATGACCATGACCGACGCGTACAAGTTCGTCAAAGGGAAGCGACCCATTATTTCCCCAAACCTCAATTTTATGGGACAGCTTTTGGAGTTTGAAGAAGACCTGAACAACGGGGTCACGCCTCGAATTCTCACGCCAAAGCTGGTCGGAGTGGAGACAGTCGTCTAAAAGAGCTACCGGCTGAACCTTTGCAGCAGCTGCCCGGAAGGAAGGAGACGTCCGTCTTCTCCTTGACGCCTTTGAGGTGTCTTCGTTCGTTCTACACCAGAACAGCAGCAGGACGGAAGAGGACTCCTCTCACAGAGGGCAACACTGTCATCGATTGTGGAATTTTACAGTTGGCGGTCTGTGCGGGTTCACAGACGGCAACGAACAACTGGAAAGGAAGCGATGCAAACGGGAGGGTGGGGACAGACCATCCAGAGATTTCCCGAAAGGAGATTTCCTTTGAAGATTGCCAAAGCAGATTGTTGGCGCCTCACACACACGCACACACACACACACACACCCATAGCTGCGACCAATCTCTGCTTAGCTAGTAAAGACCGATACCTGTAAAGAAACCTGATTATTTTGTGTGTTCAGGTCCTGTTGATGCTGGTTATATTTTTCTATGAGGGTTAAAACACATTTACGGGAGTTAAGCTGAAAATCGCCTCCTCCATTTACATGCCCCTTGTGGCTAAATGTGCAATAATTGATTTGCGTGTGAGGGGGGTGGGGGGTGGGGGGTTGGGGGGGGGGGGTGTGTGGATACCAAATGGATGGAGGGGAGTGCATTTTCCTTATGTAAATACACAGTATCGTGCGCCTGCTCACAGCCGAAAAGAAATCAGTGAAAGGCAGTTTTGGTTTTTGATTTAAATTCTGGTCACGGGTGCCACATGTGCTGGTGCAATTCCTTGGAAACGTGTTGGATCGGGACGTCGAGGAAAAATGTTATTTAATATTTTTTCGCACAAAAAATCTGTGTGTCACAATTGTCTGTGTAATTTCATTTCATTTATATAAAAAAAAAGTTACATGTAGCCATCTGGAGTATATTTTTATTCGGACCCTCAATGCCGGGTATCCTGATTGCAAGAGTTGGGCAGTAGTGTTGCACAAACACACACACACACACACTGAGCTATTGTTTCAACATTTAGTGTGGGGGAGAATGAGCCACAGCGTCGAAGCTAGAGCAGTGGTGGTGAATACATGCTGGGATTTATTCTGCATAAATGGCATTTCATTTTAACCAGTTATTAATGATAAATCTTTGTATTTCTTTGTATTCCATACAGTGCCTAAAAAAAAAACATCAGCCTGTCATTTCGAAACGTCTCGGGCCATTGCTGTAAAGTCTAGGGATATTCTCGCTGTACGTCAGTTTGAAATCTTTCCAAATAGATAGTCCGGCCCCATAAGCAGAGCTACTTGTGCTGTTCCAGATAAGGTGAAAAACTTCTACGGTGTCTTCTTTTGATTGTCTCAGTTTGAACAACTGCTTCCAGGACCAGAGGACCATTCAGGGAGGAAAGCAGCCTGATCCCTAGGTTTGAAGGAAATCGTGGAGAATAGGGTAGGATGAGATCCTGTGAAGGATTTGAAGGGCCGTCGAGGGATTCAGTCTTGACCTTAAAGTCGGTTTTCGCTCGACCTCTAAAGAACTCAGAGAGATAATCGGCTTCAAAATAATGATTGTGTTTAAACATTGTCAAATTCTGGACGCTCTGAAATGCTGAGAAAGTAGAGGAAGTAAATACAGACCCGGGTGGCAGTTCAAACCCAGGTTCTCTGTTTGCAGGAAAAGGAGCTTAAAGAAGGTGGTGACCTGTTACCGACAGAATGGTTGGGAACTACGATCCTAAATATAGTCTGACGTGACAATTTCGAGTATCCTTAACCATTGGATCGTGGGATCGGGATTGCTTAGGTAAAGCTTACTCAGGTCCGTGTTGTTTAGGGGGAGCTTTAATAGAGAGGGGCTGCCTTTCAGCTGAGGTGTTAAACCAAAGTCCCACCACGCTGTTCAGGTGCACGTTAAAGATCCCATGGCACGACTCGAAAAGAGAAGACCTGTTCGGTATTGTCTCCAATAATCTCCCAGGTTAACTGGTTGCAAACGCCATGGCTCACATTGGCTATGTGATTGCCCTTCAAATAGTCACTACGCTTGGGAGTACGTAATTGCTTTTGAAGCATATCGAAACATTTGGATGTGATATGGCTTCAGAGAAATGCGAGTTGCTTTTTTGACCTCCCCCACCTCCCACCCGCACACGGTTTCCTTAGTGAGGATAGCGAGGGCACAAACACATGTCTCTCAATAGACCAGAGTACAGGAGTGGGAAGGTTAGTGCAGCCTGTGTTAAAACTACAGTCAAACATGAATACATAAATAACACCCACTCCCCCACCCCGTGCGTCTGTGTGATCTTTAATCGCTTTTACAAAGCTGGGAGATGGTTTGATGGAATTCACCTCTGACATTTATGTAAGCGGTGAACAGCAGCACACAGCGGGTTCAGAATTCCATCCCAGATGCCACTTATCGTGGTTTAAAAAAGTGGCACGGAAAGCTAGCTGCTTACGCGCCTGTAGCCCATATAAAGCCGGTACATGTCTGCCACTTGTCCACAGAGGCACAGAGGGAAGAAGCCGGCGTTTCCAAATACGTCGAAAATAGCAAATGCGAGGCTGAATGCAGAGCTGCTGAGATCAGGGCTATTCTGGGGCAGGCACTGCTGATAGAGGAGGATTAATCAGGCCGACTGCTCAGCGACTGCAATTAGGATCTACGCTCGAGACTATTCTCGGGCTGTTTACAAGCAAAGAACTTGACCTGTTTATAACGACCAGGGCCCTTCAAACCATGAACCTGTCAACGAAATGCACAAGACTTATCTAAGCACAGCCGCCAAGATCTGCCCGAGAGTTCGGCCTCAGTAATATGGACCGTACTCTGCATATAAAATGGGAGTGAGGACACGCACACGCGCCCGCGCTGCTGTTTTGACGAACAAGTTTTTAAAGGGGGTGCAACAGAAAGTGCAGTTTGATTTTACAGATGGGGTTTAAGAAAAATATTTTGCATAATGTGAGCTTTGATAATCATAATAATCCTCGCATTTGATACAGCGCCTCATCAGGTCTCCGAGACGTCTCAAAACGCCACACGGAATATACTGTAAAGTGAATTGGCTGTAGGCGAAACGCGGCAGCCAATTGTGCACAGCAGCGTCCCCCACACAAACTGCCGTGGATCGAGAGACCAGATTATTATTTGCTGCTGTAGTTGACTAGAAACAGCCCCAACAGCACGGTCCCACCTTACGTGGCAGATCGGGCTCCTCTTTTATAGTGTGTCCAGGGAGGGAGTTGTTTGCATTTGTGCAACTAGAGACCTTTAGATGTTTAAATGCTAAACCAATAAAACTTTAACCTTACCCTGTAGTCCTGGATCGTTTTGTGTACTCTAACCTTACCAACAGCAAATCTGCTCTACACATATTTGTCTACGAAACAGAACTGTTTGATTTCCTTTGAAGATTTGACAGCACTCCCTACTGAGTGCTTACAGTCTATCAGAAATTAATCGGAATAAGAATAAGAATGCAGCACCTTTCACGTAGGGAGGATGCCTCGAAGCGTATTACAGGATTTAATCCTTGACTGTCTATTTTGCAGGTGAGCAAATAGCTTATTCCCCTATAATATTATTTCCCAAAACCCCTGATTGTCCAGCGCCCCGGGACATCTTTCGACGTGAAGGACCCTACACACGTGTAATTTGTTGTTGTTGTTGCTCCTACAGCACAGTCAGTTCCACTCTGCTTTTTGTGCAGCTCGCCAAGTGCTTTTTCTTCTCGTGTGCTCATGCGAAGCATCAGTAGAGGGTGTTTGTGGCAGCGGTTCCCGGTAAGTCACGTTCCCTTTCACCCTGGAACGCTGATGACTGTTCTGTCAGCCAATTTGGTACATGCAGGACCATGGGCCAGTGAGTCGCCTAATTTCACGTGGAAACGAGTGTGTTTATAGGAGTGCAATGGCATGGATTTCTGAGGGGAGAGGGGATTGAGGCACACAGAGTGAGTTTGTGTGACATTATAGATGGACTGAAGCCTGCCCTGGCATTGATCCAGGTGTCAGTAGTAATGCTGACAGCATTACTTTGTTATGCCTTGTGTCAAACCCGAACATGATGCCTTAAGGGGCTTGTTAAGATGTTCTATAAATGTAAATGCCGATGAGTCACTGAGGTATCAGGGCTATTGTCTGGAGATAGTTTACGGCAGGAATAGAGAAGAGATTTCTGTGATTTTCCTCCTCACTGAATGTATACTGTAGGGAGGAGTGTTTGGATAGTTCTGTCACTGACAGGGGTGTATGTTCTGTTAAGGGCATGTGGGCTGTGTTCATACATTATTCACTCTCTGGACGGGCTGGAAGCGTACCGGGATTTAAGTCCGAGAGGGCAATCGCACGTGTCATGTACACCTGCGGCAAATCTCGGCAAATCAGTCACTCCACAAGAGATTTGACGTGTGGCCTGACGTTTCACCTGGTCACAGCCGACAAGACCATCTTGTCTAAAAGATTAAGATTGGCAGAAAATTGTAGAACTTTCCCAAATTCAGTCCTAGTTTAGCAGCCAGTTTTATTCCGCAATTCTTTAAAATATATAGATCGGCTATCAAATTAAAACCAAATTTAAGAATTTTTCACAATCCTACATTATCTTGAATTCTATGGCAAAATGGTCTTAAACTGTGTGGAATTTTGGGCCTCAGAGTGTGTGTGTGAAGGTCTGATGGTTGGGAAATAAACATTTGTGATGAAATTCCGCTTGGATCTACATTTACTCTGTTTAATTTTGATATTCTATAGCTAAACATTTCACCTTGAATCCAATTCAACTCCAAGAAGACCCTGGTCACCACCTCCCCTCTTCCGCCACCCCACCCTAGAGGATAGTCATGCTATTCAGCATTTCAAAAAAAAGTGTCCAAAAGTTGGCAAACTGTTGAATTCAGGCTTCAAAATTAAAACTGTACTCAGAAATTTGTCAAATTCTGATCACGGATGTCCTACAAAAATAGTAAATGTAAACCTAGCGGAAATTTCTCTCCGATGGTGTTTATTTCATCAGCAATATAGAGTGAATCCTTGAAATCAAAACAATCTTCCTTACATCAGCCAGAGAATGCCGTGTAGACATTGCTACCAACGAGAGCTTCACAGGATTCACTGTAAAGTCTGATGGCTGTAATTTTTGTAGACGAACATGGAGACCGATTTGCACACAGCAATGGGTTGTCTACATTAGGGCCAATGTACGACAATGTAGTGCTTCACCACTACATTTTTCTTCTGTTTATAATAATGCATCACAAGCACCCTGGCCTGTAACAGACTGAGGATTAAAATAGAACCAATGTTTTGCACCTCGATAGTGTTTTGTTTCTTAGTGAATTTGGTTGTGTGATGTTATTGTTGGACCTCATGTCATGTAGCGGTGGTCTTTGGGGAGTTTGCTGTTGCTCAGCTGGTGGAATAGACGAGGAAAGCTCAAAGCGAAACTTCCACGTGATGGTAACTAGAGGACACTTGGTGCCTCCACAGATAATTTCTCAATGTTTTTGTCGACATTATACTAGGCATTGCAGTTAACGCAGATTTAAGGTGAGGTTTCTTTTACACAATAGAATACAAAGTTACACTTGCACAGGGTCTTTCAC